GAGGGGGCAGGGGCGACGCTCGCATGGCCGCTGGAGGCGGCGAGGCTGACGCTTGCCGTCCTGCTGTATCCATGATGTGCAATGCTAATCTGTTCTCTGGGCAGTCCGCATTGAGCGTGGAATCACGCAATGCTGGCAACATTGATGGTAGAATCAGACCGTCATTCACGCAGCATTGATGAATCAGCTCCATTGCGCTGGTCTCTGTCTGCCATCTCTTGAACAAATACATCGGTACGAATTTCGGTAACAGTTCCTCCTTCAGCCATACAAGACACTCCGTCTCAGGAGCCCCTCGGTTTGTTTTCTCGGATTTTCTGGTCCGAGCAGTCAATGATGCCGTAAACTCGAGTCTTCGTAAAGTGCAATTCTTGAGTATATCCCATTGATGATACTTATCAGATGCACTAAAGATGCAGCGTTCGTGTTCCTCTGTCTTTTTCCTCCACGCGTCGATATGTCTGCGATAATCTTGATATCTAACAAGACGTCGCTGCCATACAGTTCTCCATTCATCAGTTCCTTCGACCTCCTCTAGAACAGGGATCTCCACGACAAACAAGCTGATGGTGTCTTTTTTGCCAGCCCTCATAGAACCGAGCGACTGCCTGTTTGTCTGTTTTTCAGCCATGATTGCACCACCGTTGGGCAAAGGCATTGTGACCCAAGGCCAATCATGGCACTTGTCTTCGCCGACTTGCGTCCAGCCAACGTTCTCGCATGGCACTTCATCGAGTTCATCTTCCAATTCCAATCTGTGACCTGGTCTTGGCCGGTTCGGTTCCGGGCTAACTGAGGGAATACTCGCTGTTATCCTAGAAGGAGACTCTTCTCTCTTCACGGCCACTGACGGTTGCGTGTCAGAGCCGCTCGGCTCTTCCTCTTGAGGGTTCTCCGGCTGGCCGTTGTTCTCTCCCCTTGCTGGGGATTGCGTGTCAGAGCCGCTCGGCTCTTTCTCTTGAGGGTTCTCCTGCTGGTCGTTATTCTCCGTTTCCTGTTGGTTGTCAAGGTCCATGCCATCTGCACCCGAGTGGTTGGGCGCTCCTCGACTATCGGAGTCCAGACTCGGGGAAGCCATTGAGGGGTTCAGCTGATCCTCCTGTCGACCTTCCTCGGATACATGGAGCGAACCAAGCTCTGGTGCAGGTTTACAATCAGTTAGTCTCGACAAGGATGCATAGTACGGATGTTCTGCTTACTTTCCAGGGCTTCTCCTGCACCGGGGATCTTTTTCTCTACCGCCATACGAAGAAGTTTCTCCCATTCCTCTTTCGCACTGGACCCTTCTTTGCCAAAAAGCGGAGGAACTTGAGTTTGAGCTTCTTGCAGCGTGGTAATCTTTTGGGTCACGGCGGCTATCAGTTTTTCCTTCTGAACTTTGGAGATATCTCGCACATGGTTTTTCAAATCCGACGGGAGCGGTGCCTCCTTCTGCCCAGATCCAATATGTGGGAAATCCCCTGCGTCAACAAACTTGACGTAGAGTTCGGTTTCCGGATAAGAAGGCATGTTGGTGTGCTATATGCTCCGGGAAGTGATAGTCAATGTTTTTGAAAGTATTCCTGTAAAGCCTCTGCTGACACTGCTTGCATTTGGTTCACTGTGACAGAATGTCTTTCCCTTTATAGTCAAAAAATTTCAGCCGTGGTGCATACACATCTCTGCACCTCATACATTCGATGAAAGCCCCGGTAAATGGCCTGAAACCAATTAGAGTTTCTTTCAGGTACAAGCTTTTCCAGATTCTCGGGGCGTAGGGAATGTTGTCCTCCCGCAGAAAGCCACATACTGCCATATCCGCCGAGAAGCCGACTAGTAAGCCATCAACGAGGTAACTAATATCCAGTACTGACGCCCTACAAGGCTTGATGAGGTATAACTCGAGCAACGGCCTTCGGAGCAAGCCGTTTTCAATTCAGCAAAGGCAGGCCCGCCAAGACAACCACTGGCCATGTATTCACGACGCCCGCGGAAAACGCAGCTCACATTTACACTAGCGTGGAGCAGCTTCACATGTCAGTAGCGCATTGATCTGTAGACTGCACATGGGAGCCACCGCACATTTT